TTAAAAACCGGACCTAACCAGCAAACACACCCAGAGAACAAACCAAACACCTTCTTCCTCGTCTTTCTTCCACACTATTAAGCGTACGATAAGATAGATAGTACTACAATACTATTCTTCGCTAGCCGTAATAAACAGCGTCAAGGGTATCTCTACCTATCTGTTCTTATATCATTTATGCATGTAAGCATTTCCATTTCCATCCGATCTCTCAAGAGAGGGGTGGATTGATTGATGGATATATCGGTGGATGAGTCTCTCGTTCTCGGAGGATATGTTTTCTCTGTGTATTAGATAGGGGAGAGACGGGGATGGATGCGCCGTGGAGGCAATGGCGGATACGTAGGAGGTCTGGCTTCGCTTCGCTTGAAGCATCAGATGCCGTGATGATGCGACACGGAGGCAGCTTTCGCCAGGCCGGCTGGAGAAAGAACAGCGCTGGGTCCAGAGCTTGGGACATCCTCATGGCTCTTGCTAGGTTATAACATATATATATGTGCAAAAGTTAACTTTATAGTTGATACAGAAGCATAGCGTACAACAACCTGCTACTCTCTTCCCCACCCCCCAACCCTCCCTCGAGCACATCAAATTCCTACCACCCATCCACCCCCTCCTCGTAGTCCACCAGGTGCTCCATGATATCGATATCGCCATTCTCCTCCTGCTCGCTCTTCATCCTCTCCTCAACCATCTTCTCCACCGCCTTCTGCCTCTTCCTCGCCTTCTTGCCCCACTCCTCCCCCTCTCCCTCTCCCACACTCTCGCCCTTGGAATCCGCATCCTCCTTCCCCTTGGAAAACTTCACGCTCTTCCCCTTCGCGGCCCGGACATCTCCATCCCGAATGGCATTCGCACCCAGCGCCTCCTTCTCCTTCTCCCGCGCCAGCGCCACCGCCTTCTCATGCTGCTTCGCCTGCGCCCGCTCCCCGAATCGCGACAGGTACGGCCGCAGGAAGAGGTAGCCGCCGAGGATGGCGATCATGCGGATATACTTGAAGGGCGTCATGCCGTCCCACATCTCGACGCTGTTGCGCATGAGGTTGACGTAGCCTTGCTTGGGGAGCATGACGAGCCAGGTGAGGAAGTCGAGGGCCCCGGCGAGGAGGCGCGCGAGGGGGTCGTTGGGGTCCATGGTTTGAACGGGGGAGGGCTTCGTGGGGGGTGTGTGTGGAGGATTTGAGATGGGGGCAAGTTGAAGATGAAGACGGGGAGGTCGGTGGATGGGCGAGGGAGATGATGGTGTGGCTGAAGCTAGGGCGAGAGGAGTATCTGCAAGGCTGTAGTCGCTCTATCGTCGATGTCGATAATGTATCTGGCTTTCTCAGGACGGCGCAGTAGTCAACGATTCAATCCTGGGTGCGCAGCTGTCGCAAGTAAAGGAGGGTATCGTTCACTGGAATCCGCGGCTCTGATCGAGGAGAGAAGGCGATTGACGAGGTATGCTTTTTTCTCGGTCGCATCGAGGGAAGTGATGCGGCGCAGAGAGGAGGAGAGGAGCAGAAGAGAAGAAGAGAAGGAGAGGAGAGGGTTACTATTAAAGGGAGTTTATGATTAAAAGGAAGGAAAGATGAGAGTCTTGTCGCCATCTAAAAAAAGGATCTGGATGAGATTATCCAGTCCAAGCGGGGTCGGGCGGGCCGGCTCCGGCTCCGGCTCGGAGAATGATCGGGTCGGGTGGGCACTGGGCAGGCGCGTCTGTCTGTCGGGACTCGGGAGCTTGAGCTTGACGCGACTTTCTCAGGTACCTCGATCACTTATCGTTTTGGGAAGCATGACCTCAACCGCTTTCAAGATCCAGAACGCAGTGATTGATTCGCATTCGGACTAACAACTCCGTCTTCCTGACCAAGAAAAAAGGAATCTTTTTTTTTTTTTTTTTTTTCTAAAAAATTACTAGGTACCTAACGCAGTCACGTCTCCTCG